CTCCATAACTGAGTTTGCTGGCCTTGATGGTTGAGCAGTTTGTATGCTGAGTTCACTGCAAAAGAGCCACTACTATGCCTTGTCCATTTAACCCTATCCTCCTCCACTGTGGTCCCCTTGAACTGATCAAGAGCATTCAAAAATTCAGTGAATCTAGGCAACTCCCAGTCATTTAGTTCTCTTCTAAAGTTGAAAGTCCATCCATGTTGGTCCCAACTGTCTTCCACCGTAGCTTCATTATTCAAACTCAAAACTTTCATGTCACTGAAAAGGTCTTTCAAAGGTCCATGTCCTAGCCAATTATCATTCCAAAAGGATGTTTTCCTCCTATTCCCTACTACAATAGAAACATTCTCAGCAAAAAGAGGCCAATAAGCCCTGATGGACCTCCAGACACTAACCCCATATGTTGTTGTCACTGCTCTAGGTATCCATTGTCCCTCTAGTCCATATTTTTCAGTGATGACCTGTCGCCATAGAGTTTGATCTTCCCTGCCAAACCTCCAAAGCCATTTCATGAGTAGGCTTTTATTATGTAGTCTCAAGCTTCTTATGCCTAAGCCCCCAGATTTCTTGCTTTGTGTCAAAACCTTCCAGTTGACCAAGTGATAACCTCCCTTCTCCTTATTTCCTTGCCAGATGAAATTCCTTCTCATAACATTAATCATTTTCTCTATTTTTGTAGGAATAGGAAAAAGGGACATCATGTATGTGGGAAGTGCATCTAAGACACTGTTAACCAATGTTACTTTGCCTCCCCAGGGATATGTACTGGCTTTTCCACTTAGCCAATCTTTTCTCACATCTTTCTAATACCCCACTCCAAATGTGTAACGACTTGTTTTTAGAACCCAATGGCATACCTAAGTAGGTTGTAGGAAGAGTTCCAACTGTGCATCCAAGAACGTCTGTCAGCCTTTGTATATCAGTTACCTCATTTACTGGAAAAATGAGGCTTTTCCTCCAATTGACATGTAAACCAGAGTCTGCCTGAAAAATTGTTAGAATTATCCTGAGATATCTTAGCTCTTTTTCTTTTGCATCACAAAATACCAAAGTATCATCTGCATATAGTAGATGAGTTACCTCCATTCCACCTACACTACTTGCCACCTTAAAACCAGTCATCCACCTATTGTTATTTGCTACCTTTATCATGTTATTTAGACCTTCCATTGCTATTAGGAACAAAAAGGGGGAAAGAGGGTCACCCTGTCTCAAGCCTCTATGTGAAGGGAAGAAACCTTCTGGGGAACCATTGATGAGAACGGAGAACCTGACTGAGCTTATGCAGAAGAGCATCCATTTAATCCACTTTCTTCCAAAACCCATAGATTTCAGCATTTTAAGAAGAAAAACCCAGCTCACATGATCATATGCTTTCTCAATATCAAGTTTGCAAAGAATTCCAGGTGTCTTCATCTTTAGCCTTGAATCAACACATTCATTAGCCACTAGTGTTGCATCCATTATCTGTCTCCCCTTTATGAAAGCCATCTGATGTCTATCTACTAGCTTGGAGATCACTGTTTTCAATCTCTCGGTCAAAACCTTAGAAATAATTTTGTACACAGACCCAATTAAGCTAATAGGCCTAAAATCTCTTAACTCTCGAGCTCCAATCTTCTTCGGTATAAGGGCTATATAAGATGCATTAAAGCTCTTCTCAAAAAACTCATGTTTATGAATATTTCTCAAGGTTTGCATAACATCTTCCTTTACAATATCCCAGCAAGAATGAAAAAATCCCATAGTATATCCGTCTGGCCCAGGTGCTTTGTCTGAAGCACATAATTTTACCCCTGCGCAAACTTCATCCTCTTCAAATGATCTTTGTAACCACTGCTTCTCACTCTCACTTATACAAGGACAATCAGCCAAAACAACCTCTGGTCTCCATTCCTCTGTTTCAGTGTAAAGTTTTTGGTAGAAGGATAGAATTTCCCCTTTTATAGTCTCTGGATTCTCCACCGTCACACCATTAACTTCTAGCTTATCAATTGTGTTATTTCTCCTATGTGCATTTGCCATTCTATGAAAAAAAATTGTGTTCCTATCCCCTTGCTTGAGCCAAAGAACTCTAGATCTCTGTCTCCAAGCTATCTCCTCATTTTTTGCTATATCTTCCAGCTTCATGAACATGCTGGCCTTCTGCAAAAGCTCATCTTCAGGTAGATTTCTAGTTTCCTGTACAACATCCATTTCTGCCATGGAACTTAGAAGTTGAGTTTTCCTTACTTCAAAGTTACCATGATTTGTACCATTCCACTCTTTTAGTTTTCCTTTCAGCATCCTCAATTTGCAGGCCAGAATATAATCAGGTCTACCTTGTACCTCAAAAAAAAGCCACCACATTTCACCATGTCACTAAAACCTGCCACCCCAAGCCACCAATTCTCGAACTTGAAATAAGACTTATGATTCTCCCAATCTCCGCATTCTAACAGTAAGGGAGCATGGTCAGAAGAGACTCTAGGTAACAGTGTTTGGGAAATATTCCTGAATTCATCATTCCATTCCGTAGAGAATAGAAACCTGTCTATCCTTGAAAAAGCTTGCTGATTGTCACCCTTTGCCCATGTAAAACTTCCTCCGATAAGAGGAGGATCCACCACTTCCATGTCATTAATGAAATCAGAGAACTCTATCATGGATCTCGTCATTCTCCTACAATTTTTCCTCTCATTTACAAATCTAGCTGTGTTAAAATCCCCGCATATTACCCAGGGACCATCAAAAAGTCCCCTAGTATCTGCAATTTCCATCCACATAAGATGTCTTTCCACCCTGTTGCAAGGTGCATATACCCATGTGAGATGCCATGAGAACTCCTCTGTCATCGAGCTGAATCTACAAGTAATTGTGGATATTCCAGTGGTGATCACCTCTCCTCTCCATGCCCTATTATCCCATAAAATAAGAATTCCCCCCCCTTCTCCCATTTGATTGCAAGCAACAAAACTCTACCCTTCTATTGGTCCATATTTGCTTGACTAATGGTTCAATATTTCCCTCTAACTTAGTTTCTTGAAAGCAATAAATGTCTGCTTTCCACCTTCGTATCAAACTGTTCACTAACCTTCTCTTTTCCCTTCTATTCAATCCCCAAACATTCCACGAGATAATTTTTATCTTCATGGTTCACTTCTGGAAATTGACCTCCCCCTTGCTCTTTTCCCCTCATCTTTATACGTCACATTGAAAACCAGTTTTTCCACTTCCTTTGCCCCCTTTTGTTTTGGAGTACCACAGTTGGCAGTAGGAGTTTCTGTCATCTCTTCCTTCCTTTTGGCATCTAGTACTCTTCAATTGGTCTACAATCACCAATGGATGATTAATATCCACCTCTTGTAATAACACAAGAGTCCATAAATTTTAAAGGCAAAACTGCATCTTTTGGTACCTAGATTTCAAGGATTGTGCATTTTTTGTCTTAATTTATTAATTATGCACATAATACCTTAATTTTAACATTTAAGTGTAAATATTGGATCTCATCCTAACGGTGGTAACTTCCTGATATAAAAATTCATGTGTCTCGGATATGACACATTTTTAATATAAATTGACGTCAAACCTCTAACAATGCAAAAAATCCTTCTGATATACTATTCACCTTAGTTTTATTTTACAATATTAATGAAAAGTGAATTTTAAGTAAATTGAAATCCTATCTCAATTAAGTGATTTTTCAAAAAAAAATTATCAATCAATAGATACTCAAGAAACCAGTAAAAACTCTCATTCTTGAAAAAACTTTTCTGTGCTATTTAATCAAAATTCTACTGTAGTAAAACAAAAACAAAAAAAAATAACCTACCTCTTAAATAGAACAAATAATTTCTACAGGATTGTAATATTCTTTTGTTTAATTATCTAATATTCAGTTGAAACTCCAGCGAAATTACAATTATTGAGATAATATTTTACTTTACATAAAAGATCAGACTCATATTTTACCATAGATATGTTAAGACAAAAACTAAGGCAAAATACTATATTAAGAGGAACTGAATGCATATTAGAAGCTTGGCTTTAATTGATGACTCCATCCACAAAGAAAATGGATATACAAGTGAAAACAGACTTAGAATGCTTAGAAGATTACAAATAGGTTAATTCTCTTTTTCCACCCAAAAGTTAACAACCATTACGATGACATCGTATTTTGCATGTTATGTTAAAGTTAATGTATTTACAAACTCAAAAAAGCAGAACAGAAATGCACTACCTGTAAAAATTAGGCACTAAAATTGCAATTTTACTAAATAATTTCTACTGGCTATGAAGCCTGGCATTTCATTTATTTTCTATGAACCAAAGCAACCAGGCAACTTCACCTTGCAGAATATTTTACATTTTCCCATCCCTACAAAAGTTCAAGGCCCAAATTAACAGATTGGCACCAAATTATATGTTGTTCAGTAAAACTCACTAACAGAGAACCAAAAAAAAGCTGTCTAAAGTCGGTTTGATATGATCAGTGTTTATCAAAATCCAAGCCCACGAACTCTACAAAACTGTATTCAGGCTATTCCTGAAGAGATTGTATTTTTTGTACAGGGACTGAATTTGGAAGGTTCACCCAAAAAGAAAAGATTGAATTTGGCAGGTGAATTCCTTGATCCCTTCACACTTCCTGGACATGAAATACTTCGAGGGAAACAAATGCTTTAGGCAATATGCGATCACATTACTACTGTCGCTCCTCTATTAACCTTAGTCTGGAGATAGGAAAAGGCAGCTTCTGAAAATTATTTGATAATACTGTATAAACGTATGAATGTAACTCTCCAAGAGATACAAATTTTAAGAACTCCAACACCTAAAACCCTAAATCCAGGGAAACTTGGCTTCCACAAACTTGCTACCTAAGTAATAATATAAGTAAACACAATAACAGACATCCAAAAATAACAAGGAAGCCTTTGTGACAGGAAATCCAAAACAAAATACTAAACCTACATTTTCGAATTAACGAGTGCTAGAGCCCATGAATAATACTTCTAAAGTAATGGTTAAGTCCCCACTATTTATTCTTCAGCACTTTGGGCAGACAACAACAACAACCCAGTGGATTTCCACAAGTGGGGTCTGGGGAGGGTAGGGTAGCATGTACGCAGCCTTACCCCTACCCCGGAAGGGCAGAGAGGCTGTTTCTGATAGACACTTTTGGCAGACAAATGATAACTATTATACTTTAGGCCTTTGTGGCCGCTAAACTGCGTCACATTAATGCTTGCCTAATAGATCAAGCTAAACCCTTCTCTAATTATGGTATCTTTCTATCATTATCAAGAAGTTCTGGAAAAGGTAATCAACATACTATAACTTACTGAATGAATCATACCTCTCCATGTGTTTGAAAATTCCAACAAGGGATGCCATTTGAAAAATTCAGAAAATAAATGTTCCCGTCATAACATCCGATAACAACCTGTAAGTGAGATCCCAATCAGCTGATGTAAAACTTACAATTTAGAAAACTACGATAGAAAAAAGTTAACCTCTATAACCTGAGAAAAGTCATGTAGAATTGCTGCTGAGCTCTCAACACGTCCTTGTAATTTGACCTCCCACAAAACAAGACCACTAAACACATTTGTAGTGAAGTAGTAGTCAGATGCTTTTCATCACCCAAGCCAGAAAACCATCTCAAATTAAGCATAAAATTACTCATATGTCGATAAAGAAACAGAGAGCTAGAGTCGAGAAATAAGAACTGAGTCAACAATGCAGCCATCCGGTAAGCATTGCATGGACTAGTCCACAAGGAAGTCACCTTTCTCACAGCTCAAGCAACAATGGCAAAGGTACACCAAAACGGCCAAGCATACACTATCATAGGCAACACCAAATTTCGAATAACAAATTGCAAACATGGAACAATCACACGCAAACAACACATGGAAACCTGAAATTAAAAGCAATGAGAAGCTTTCACTCAAGATTGAACCACAGTTATACAAATAATGTTAACGTCATGAGAAAAATTCGCTAACCAATGTTAGATAAATTATGTAAACACATTAGACTTAGATGTAATATATAAAAGTGTATCTAAGCCGCAAGAAGTATAACCATAAACATTGAAAAGCTTGAAATTAAAAGGATCAATCGCATGACATGCTGCTTCACAAAATCTTCCTATATTTCTCTTATTTCTCACATGGTATCAGAGTTTTGGTAAAATTAGTTGAGCATTCACTTGCAACAACAGAAGAAGAAACATCTCGTGGACATGCATTCTACGACAACCATCGCAGTTGTCCCGAGCTTTCCTTGTTGCTCACGAGTGTTGCGCATCAATCAGTATCACCACGTGACTCTGGATAATCTTATGAATGAAACCAAGAAATTGCATCTTTGTTGGAGGCCAGCATGCCCTTCACACTCACACAGTGCCGCACATGACCAGCTCTAGCCATATTCTGCTAATCTCTTGGATCAATCGGCGTTGATTCTTTCTGCTAAGAAAATCCATTGCACTTGTGGACTAATGTGACCACAGTAAAACTAAGCAAGGACCTTAGGTTAGGGTGCCACCAAGAAATCTCGGTATCCTCACTTCCTGATCAATTTATTACAATTTTAAACATCCTAAAGCACGACCTAACCTGAATCCTACCACAAGTGATATCCAAGCTTCTCCGATCACCAGAACAAGTCTTTAAGTGCTCTAGCAATGCCTTCAGATTTTTCATACTCAGATCATCTTTATTTCGTGTTTCAGTAAATTGGAAGTCAACCTATGCCTGTTAAGGGTAGCATTCTTGTCTCCTTATACGGTATTGAGTAATTCTCACCTCATCACCAGCTTTTTGCGTAGAGTTAGGCTCAAGGTCCGTTTCTTTTACATGGTATCAACGCCAGTCGCCAGACACGTCCATGCTCTTCGTTTAATCAATAATGGTCTTCCATGTTATATTTCCATATTCCGGATGTCCGATCTTGGACGACCGGGGGTTATTAGAGCCCCAAATTGGTTTAGGGTATAAGTTGTCTTCTTATATATTATTAGGTAATCTTTACTTTATGAACTAACTTTTGAGGTTGAGTTTAGTTCAAGGTCCATTTTCTTTACCATATCAAACGACTAACCAAAATGACGTTTGAATATAGTAGTGAGATGCAACTTGTATTTGGTAATCAAGTGCACTTCATATTGCATCAAACCCGACAATCCACGAGAGGATTAAGCACATAAAAATCAAATGTCACTTTACTAGTGAAAGATATTCACATATAATATCATCATAAAGTTCATAAAGTCAAATGATCAACTTAGAGATATGATCATCAACTCCCTCGCCAGTCCTCGAACTGCTTAAATGCTTTCTCTATCCTATATCTTAGGACAACAACAACACACCCGGTATGGTCCCACAAGTGGGGTCGGAGAAGGATGGGGTGTACGCAGACCTTACCCCTACACAAGGTAGAGAGGCTACCCTATATCTTGTGACTTGACAAAAAGATTAAGATGTTAACTTGACTTATAAGTTATTATCTTAGTGATACCAGAAGCACATTCAATAATAGATGAAAAGTTAGCTAGATAAAGAAACATCACATTATGTAGAAATTTGATTAATTGAATTTGAATTCTTAAGCATTAAAACTTGCAAAACTATGAAATGGTGTCAAACACTTTGGGACGTTGCAAAAAAGGAGTAACACAAATATTGGCACAAAGGGAATATGTAACAAGCTCATTACATACGATTAGTATGCACTAACTTGAATGGGAGTGTTAGACAAGCTATGGGTGCATAGTCACCAGTCCGGCTTTGATTGGTATTTCTTTTTCCTTAGTGATTGGAAAGGAGGGCGCGTGAGTATGTTATATAAAGGGAATGCGGAAGCATCAAATGGTGAAGAGAGGCGGCTCGACAAGGAAGGAATGGGAATCGTCAAGGTACAATCTTGTTAGATAAGCTATGAGTAAATTAAACCTATGTAGTAAAAAAAAGTTCGTAGCGGTGTGCCATATCAGAAATATATACTTCTATCCTGAAAAGTGTGATACTACCAAACAATTGCAGTGATATGACAGGTATAGCAGAGAGCTTTCCACAATGCAACCCATCAAGTTTAGTCCGTGCGTCAATATTTGGACATTCCAATCCAAAGAGGACCCTTTTTGGGGGTCAAAGCCTAGATCAAAACTGTCAATAGTGTATGGAGACCAATCGGGCAACGTATCCCATCCTAAGCTAATCCAAGTGGATGTAGGACTCATGTGTAAGAAATTTGTCCTTCACACACTCTTTTTTTATCTTTTCTTGATTTTCACAATCACAATCATCTTAGACAAACATGCGGGGTTACCTTGTTGCATCAATGCAAAAGAATTTGTGGGAGTGAGCTCCAATAAACAGATAAGCACTTCTTTCTTTAAATACAACTAGTGGTGATGCATCAACACAAGATTCCATGTAGACCATCCACCGTTCTCGCATGAAACCTCTTTTATCACGTGGAACTTCCCAAGACAACATAGATCGGCAATGGTAACCCTCACATCCGGTATCATGCCTTACTTTGTTGCACCGGCTGTAGGAACATGAAACCTGTGTCATAGTTGAATTATTCATATCTCTTCCATTAACATCGTCGGGATCAATATACAAATCTGAATCCGTTTTCAAACGTTTAATGGGATAATCACTTGTCAAACTCAAAGAGGTACTGCTATCAAGACCAGGCATCCAAGATTTATTAGAAGGAAGCTTGCTTTTTCCTTGCACTTTCGAGTTCACTCCCACTAAAGCATCAGCTCTAAGCTCACGGCTAGAGGACACTTTTTTATGTAGAATGGCCTTCTGAAGTTTCAATGGAGTTGGAAAAGTATACAAGTCCTTCATATTAATTCCTAGATTATAGGAGACATAAGCTGCTGATAGAGAATTGCCACCCATCTCAAAGAAGTCATCATCAAGGGAGATCTTGTCAACAACCATCAGAGCATCAGAAAAAGCCTGTCCAACCAAAGTTAAAGAAAGTGTTAGAAAACACATCACCGGAAGGACAAATAATATATTGACTAGAGAACAAGAGACTCACGACAATATGACAGCACGCATTCATTATTCAACAGCTAACCTTAACAATGATAATGAGTCAGTTACTGGTCAACTTTAGGAACAAGCATGTAATGTTCAAGTCTTCAAGAGTAACAGTCAAGAGTACTATTTAAAGTCTACAACACCTCCTCCTTTCTCATAGATTAGCTTCATTATTTGTATTGTAGCTAAGTTACAACACCATCAAAGCACACCACTGCTCCAAGAGTAGATTTCAAGGCATACTCAAGAGTAAATTGAAGGCTAGACATTTTGGAGTCTGCCAGGCATGACACGTTCGCTGAGGTGTACCAGTTTGGGTCTAGCGCACCTCAAGGCAATATATGAACCCTCTACCACCCCCTTTTTTGGGATAAGATAAATTCCCTCTACCACCCTTTTCCAGCAGATAAATCAGCTGTGAAATCTCTGCAGCTTCACAGTATACTAACCAAACAGCAGGAAAGACTTTGAATTACCAAAAGAGGATTTACAGCTCATTTTCCCCATGAAAGCAAAAGAATCATGTTCAGAAGCATAAGAGATATAAATAGTATAAAGACATCTTTTTCATTTCATCTATTTTTTGGTGGTAAAGGATACATAGAAAGTTGGGATAGCTTGATAGATATATGTCTTTAATCCATTTGCACAGCTTGTACATATTTTTGACACAATCTCGGAGTGATATTGTAGAAAATGGATAAAAGAACAGGTTTTCTGTGATTACACAACCTGATTACTCCCTCAAGTAATTTTTTAATTTGGTTGATTACTCCCACAAGATATTGTGAATTAAATAGTGTTTACAAGTTGCCTGAAAGAAAGAGGAGGCATATATAAAAACCCTATAATTCTTCCAGTTACATGGTCTGGCATTTGGAATCCTTTACATATTACAACTTATCCAGGCATCCTATGATCTTGACGGTCTACACGTGATTTTTCTTCACAACTACATCTTATTATATTTAACCAAAAATATTCACATTTTAATCATAGGCAGACTTAGTACTGAATGAAAATCGAAGCATGAAAACTGAAAACAAAATTGCTAATTCCATATTACAACAGAATCACAACCTTTAATAAAGCTGACATCTAGTTAAATACCTTTCGTATAACATTAATGAGATCGATATCTTGAGTTTCTTCAATCTCAATACAGTTACCTGCCTCAGAAGCTGCTGAAGTGGCCAAATTCTTGTAATCCACTTTCCCTGAGGAAGACACAGGAAATGATTCAACAAAGTAGAAACGAGCAGGAACCATTACCGGGGGAAGTTTGCTGGCTATCCAGCATCTAATTGAGGACCTGAAGAACTCAAGGTTGCTTTCCTTTTGCTTGAGCAGTAAATATGCTTCAAGAAGTAAAATATCTCCTTGAACACAACAAGAAACTACAGCAGCATCAGCTACTTCTTGGTGTTCCCTCAAAACGCTTTCAACCTCCTCCAAAGCAATACGCTGCCCACTGATCTTTACAGTGCGGTCTTTTCTCCCGATACAAACCAGGTTGCCATCTGAAAGCTTTCTGCCAAAATCTCCAGTTCTAAAGTAACACTTCATTTCATTTTTAGCACTCTCAGCATCAGCTACTTCTTGACGTAATTCAACGTTATCCAATGGAAAAATAGAAGGATGACAAAAGTATCCGGCAGCAACACAACTTCCACTGACACATATCTCTCCCTCATCAGGAGAATTTTCCCCAACAAGAACCACATCACAATTTCCAATGGGAACGCCTATTGGAACACTACCCGGTGCATCTTGCTCCAACATTTGGGGCAACCACTTGCAGTCAAAATATGTGCAGTCACCAGAAACCTATTTCAAACATCCAAAGTATTGGTGAAGAGCACGGAGAAGATAGTGGATTAAAGTGATAGGTGACATAAGCTACTTTTTTGCTTAAGAAAAATCTTAAATTGGTCTCAATGTTGTTACTTTGTTTTGCTCCCTTCTTTTCATTTTAAATTGATGAAGTCAAGCTTGTTACGTTCCCCCTTTTTTTTCTGGAAAATAAGCATGACATCATTACAAGCTATTCTCAAATAAGCTTCATTGCGATAGTTATGAACGAAAATTGAACTTAGACAGCCGATGAAGTAATAAGAAATGAAGCTTTGAGTTGCTTGTAGCAGCCATATCCTCCTCCAAGAAGTGGTTAGATCACAACAACAACAACCCACTCACTGAAAAAACGATCATCCAGCAATAGAACAGTAGTCATGTTATAATTACATAAAAGAAAATGTATGTGCTTAGTGCATCAACTCTTTCACTGCATTGTATACATAATTATACAAGCAGATACCAGAAAGAGTATTAAGCTGAAATTTCAACATCACCAGCCCCCTCCTCTCTGTGCCTCTTTTCCCCCACCTAAGCACTCCCAAAACCATCTTCTGTAACCTCCTTTACAGCATGCCTCCACTCCTCTGCCAATGATTACCACCCCATGGTCCAGAAAGGTTCGGGAAAGTGGTTGCAGTAGCTAATGGTGAGATTGTAGGCAATGGTAGTGGGGAAAGAGGACAAAGGGGAACTAAACCGGTGTGGCTATATTATTTGAATTGAACTTAGTTAACCACATGAGCAAAAGTAGAGTACTAGCTCAAATCACAAATATTCTTTTTGACAAGGTAACATAATTTCATTTAATATGGAAAATCTCCAGTATACAAGACATATACCAAAAAGGAGAGCGCCAACATAAAACTCAGATAACAGTTATGAATTAACACAGATTAAAGGCTAATATGCACTGGATAACACAGATTAAAGGCTAATATGCACTGGATATGGTCACAGGCACTAAGAAATTGAATTTAAGCTAAAATTCAAGAACTAACATAAGTTTTCCACATTTAATCTCCAAACTAAAGTGATTCTATCGAGTAGAAAAGGTGGCAATAAAAGGGTGAAGAAAATAAGGATGGAAATAGGCATCTTGTTTGATATGAGATAGCATTACTTAAAGTTTCTCTTTTCCTAGTGGTCCAGACATCAGAACTTACAAGAACATAAGTGACCAAAAGTAACTCGCAAAGGAACATGAATCTTTTTTCCTTCCAAGCGATTCAGTATTAGAACTTGCATGGACTTGATTAACCCAAAAGTAAATCAGAGACGGAAATTTACCTCTGTACTTCCATATAGATTAAGAATAGAAATCAGGGGCAGCAACTTGACAAGCATCTTCCACAGCGACATATCAAAAACTTCACCACTTAGTACTACAAGTTTTAATGAAATCTGAACTGTAGAATAATATATGCTCTGCAGAGCCGGAAGAAACACCCTTATAAGAGATGGAACTGCCACGAGCCTGCTAATAGAGTATTCCTGAGATAAATGATGGAAAAAATAATGGAATAACAGAAGTCTGGGTAAGCAACTTGACAAGCATCTTCCACAGCAACATATCAAAAACTTTACCACTTAGCACTAGAAGTTTTAGGAAAATCTGAACTTTAGAATAGTATATGCTCTGCAGGGCAAGAAGATCGCCATTATAAGAGATGAACTGCCACAAGCCTGCTAATAGAGTAGTCCTGAAGATAAATAATGGAATATTTTTGAATATTTTATGCTCTCAACAACAACAACAACCCAGTAATGAATATTTTATGCTCTCATAGTACGCAAAGGAATAAAGAATAGGGAAAAGGTCCAAATTTGATGCTATACAATTCGAAATTGCTCAATTTTATCCTCTGTTAATCCTTGGTCCATTCACACCCTTGCGGTTAGCAAATCATCTCGTATTTTCCCTTGTCGTTAAGGGAGCTGTAGCATGAAATGGGTGGACGACACATGTCAAGATACCTCGAGAAAAAGGGTCAAAATTTACCCCTCTAATTTTGACTGAGTTTTAAACTTAGCCTTGGGTTGCAGCTACATTACGGGCCAAGAGCAAAAATGAGAGCTTTGCAAATGTTGCTCAATTTCGAATGCATCGGCAAATTTGACCGTTTCCCATAAGAATATTGGAAAAGATTTCCTCTATATTTAGAGGAAAGAATAGTGGCTCAAATTTTAATTTGCAAAAGAGAAATCAGTGAATAGATGCAAGCCAGAGAAGAGGTTCAAGAACCAAGGCAGGCAGCAGAAATGCAAAAGAAAAGACCAAAAATTCCCCACCCAGATAGCCAGACCAGCGCATGTTATTGACCAACCACAAATCCATTGAATAAAGGTAGCTTAATAATTTTAATACAGCAACATTATCAGTGCCAGAAAACTACCAAGAATGGCACAGAGCTTTTTTTCGTGCAATATTTGAAAATTTCATAATCATAGATTCACAAAGTAAACATTACCCACTTGAACTTCTTGCAACTTACTGCCACCAATAACAGTCATTTAGATTATATAACATTCAAATTCCAAAGAAAATAAGAGGTGTACCAGCACCCCCACCCTTCAATTAGAGAGAGAGAGAGAGAGAGAGAGAGAGAGAGAGAGAGAGAAGACAATGATTAGTGTATGTGCAGCAGCATTTTAGCTTAGTACAGAATTATCAGCAACCAATACAGCAGCTAGAGTACAAATTAATCAAGGAACTCATGCAGATACTAACTATAGAAGTCTAAATAATGTTAGAGAAAGCTAAGTGATCATCGAAGCAGTAACCTAGATATAAATTTTACTTGATTAACAAGCACCCAATCCAGCAGCACCTGAGCAAAAATACTTGCTTTATGTTTGTAATTGTTAGAGAACAACAATTGGTTAATGGACACGAAAGCCCATACTGTTGTTGTCTACCACATGAGAAATAATGCACACCCTTTTAAAAACACTGTCAAGTAACAAAAATTCAAGGATAAATAACCCTTTGCATATACCTGTAAAAGATTGACTACACAAAATATATTGTCCTTCAGCTGATTGAAAGGAGGTATGACCAACGTACAATTAGCAAGTATAGATCCTAAAAATTCTTGCAAATGGTCAATGAAGCTTATTGATGTTTTGAAAAGAAGGATTTCTTCTTTTTGAAAGGGATATGATTCTTGCATCCACAAAAAGCGATTCAGAAGACCTGCAAGCGTATGATTAAATAAATTGAGTTAGTGCCTAAAGGAAAGCGAAAACTATAAACGCATAAATTACGTATCGGGGCAATTTAAATTGATGACAAATGGTTGAACAATCCAAAGGATGTACAACTCACCTACTTCAGTGCCACATACACCCTTAGGTTTTCCAGTCGATCCAGATGTGTACATCAAGTAGCAGAACGATCTCAACCTTTCACTTTCACAAGGCCAGCCTAACAACGAATCAAATTTTTTTGGGATGAAATCCTCCATTGACATACAAAAGACAGGATAACTGCCTTTATCAATGAGCCATTGTAATTTGTCAAGCTGATGACAAGTTCCGCCAACAGAAGATCCATAGCCGACGATAAGACTAGCTTTCGAAGAAGAAGTTACCAATAGTACCCTTTCGTTTTGCCAAGATGGATCTAAAGGCAGAAATGCTTCTCCGCACCTCAAAACGGATAGAACAGCAACAATGTACTCAACTGAAGGTTCCATATATATTCCAACTATTCTAGGGCAATATGTTTTATGGAGCTGTTTATACTGCTTTAAACCTTGATCAGAAGACCCCAAGATTGACTGGCCCTTAGAACTGCAGTTATTTGCAGTATGATGCATATTAACTACTAGCCATGAAAAGATGCAATGCCTAATTAGTTTACTCATAAAGTGATCATCAACATCTGGAAGGATTCAATAGCCAACAATAGAAAACCAAAAGATTTCAAGAAAGCAAGTATAACATTGTCACATTCTTTTACAAACCATAAAAAAACACAGATTATGGCACACTACAAAAAGAAGAACTTGGCTACTACAACAAAAATTTAAACATATTTTTATTGTAATTCATGAAGGCCCAAAATAATCATAAACTTTCAGTTTCTGAGGCAGTTGAATTCATGAGTCAATGCAATTAATTATAAAAATTAATGGAAAAGGTCTAAATTTGCCCCTGTGCTATCTGAAATTGCTCAATTTTTCTCTCCGTTATACTTTTTGGTGCATTCATACGCTTGCCGTATTTTGGTGCATTCGTACCCTTGCCATTAGCAAATCTATCTCGTATTTTCCTTTGCCATTACAGAAACTCCACCGTGAGATGGGTGGACTCTACGTGTCCAAATTCTTCGAGAAAGAAGATTCAAATTTACCCCTAACTTTTGCCTATTCTTTAAAATTACCCTCAGCTTGGAGCTGGAGCTCTGTTAGGGGACAAAGGCAAACACGAGATTTTTCCAGATGGTAGGGTAAGATTCGACCATCCAATAAACCTTGGGCGAAGTTGCTCAATTTTGGATAGCACAAGAGCAAATTTGACCCTGTTCTAAAGGAAAATTAGAAAGCCAAATGCCAAAAAAAATCAGGAAAGCACGGCTATAAGCCTGCAACATGCACGAGATAATTCATATTCAGTCATTGAATCCAGGAGAGTAGGGAAGGTAATTAAGCAAGATTTATTCTCCAAACTAGACAAAAGGCAGATGTTCACAGATTACATGAATATGGTTTATCCAAAAAAAAGCAAACAGAAATTAAAAATATTAAAACTTTATCTTAATTCGTTAAATGCACAGTTGATCACAAAGTTCAGTTACAAACGCAGACTCTAACACCATCTTTTCTTTTCTTTTCTTTTTTTGATTGTTAGAGGTTAACACCATCTTTTCTTCATCATATAAAAGTATAGCTGAAAGAAGAACTAGTCTACAAAATAATAGCTCGCAAATTATATTACTGGAGAAAGAAGAATTTGATTTTATTCTCCATGGATACTAATTCAATAAATCTTTACGTAAATTACTTAATACCCCATAAAATCACAAATTTCAGTTACCAACGCATACACACATTATACCTGAAGAGGGTTTCAGAAGATTAGGGTCATCGCCACCGTCAAGAATGCAATGGAGCCGTGAACTGAGAGAATCAACGGCGGACAGAACATCGGAATACGTGAAGCACTCGTCACCTTCGTAAACCGGGGGATTAACCGACGTCGTTTTGGAAGATACAAACTCTTCAAACTTCTCGCGTGTTTCTCCGTCACCGTTTTCGGTGCAAAAGAGTTGAAATTCTTTGGCGATTTTGAGACCCCCACAAGCTTGAATCACTGCAATTTTATTGGGGTTGGTTGTAGCAACTTTGTAGAACTCGTGAGATATACAACAAGCGGAAAGCTTGTTGTATGAAACCATCTCCGAGGAACGATTGCGTTTTTCTTCTGGAGAAGTAGAGTGTATTATAGAAACCAAGAACGAAGACAGGAACAGATTTTCGGTTTACTAGTCTTTCAGTAGGCGGTTTGCGGGTATACACTATATCAATAAATATACAACTTTTATTAATTACGTAACAATTATAAAATAATGTGTTTGAGTACTTGAACAAAAAGTAAAGAAAATAATTCATTTATTTTTGCGTTAGGGGTTCGTGCTTTTATGCTCTTATAATAATATAAAAAATATAGATATTTCTTTATTTCTTACTCGAACAACGTTTTCTCTCTTTCTCGATTTTTTGTATAATATCTAAAAATTATATTTAATAATTTTAAAAAATATATTTAATTAAGTACACGTGTCTCTCTTTTAATAGTGATAAACTGTATATAAAATTTTCCCCTTAGACCTAAGCAACTATAAGGACAAGAAAACATCCTAATTATTATGACTCTTATTTCTCCCAAATATATTTATGTTAAACTTCCTACATAATTTAAATAAGAAAATATTTAATGATCAAAATTTTAGTTAATTTTAAAGTACAAAAAAGGTGAATAATATTTCGCTGAGAGTCTCCGTCTTTTAATAAAGTATGAATGTCTATTTCCCTTTATTCAGAAATGCTTTCTATAAAATTTATGTATCAAAAATATAAATACTAGTTTAATAAATACTGCAATTAAATTTAAATTATCCAATGTTTATAGTTGTTATACTCTTTAACTCAAAATAAAAAATATTAGAAATACTTTGGGAATGACACTTAACAGCTGCATTTTAAGTGTACATAATTCAATATATTGTTCAAAAGTTTTATATTTATTAATATGGGGTACACGCGTAATGAACATATCCTATCCATAAATAATTTTATGAATGATAGTATTCTTAGTTTTGGCGACAAATTAATGTTAAATTGTTATAAATAGAATTTTATTTATGTAAATGTCTATATTTAGAGAGATTCTAGGGTTTATTACTTGGTGGCTAAGTCACCCTTTCCCTATAAATAGAGGGGTCCTATTCCATTGTAAATCATCCAATATCAATAAGAATTCTCTCCCTCTACTTTTCTCTGCAATACTCTTCTTCTTCTTCTTTTATTGTTTCATCGCACGTTATCAGCACGAGACTCTAACCAATTGAGTAGAAGCTTTGGGATTGAGCATAATGATTGTCAATTATTCCATGAACTTCCTTCATGATTAAATTCTGGATTTTTAGGTAAGTATTTTACTGTATTTTTCTCTTTTATTCTATACTTTGATTTTAAATACAAGCAAAGACAACAAAGTTTGAGTATAACTCTAATGGAGTTTTAACCACCTGAAGTGGTAAAATTTATATGCCTCGCCATGATCAAATTCATGTATGATTGTGGGCAAAGAATTGAAAACTCGTCCCATTGAATTTGCTCCATTCTCATTCCTTTAAGAGAATGTGATAGCAGTATGTGATAAGTCTGAAAGAAGACAAAATTATTACCGTGAAGGTATCAATAGATGTGGACGTGGCAATAGACGAATTTATAATCGTCATTATCGTGGTAATGAGAATAATAAGGATTCTCAAAATAAGCCTTCACTGTGTAAAGTTGATGTTTGTCATCGATTTGACATAAGATTTCGTAAAGCACATACAGATGCTTATGGTCCATTCATGATGTGAATGTGATAACATCTTATTTATGAATACATATTCATTCTTGGAAGAATATGAACGTGCTAGTGGTAGTGAATATACCACACTCACCTCTAGAGGGAGGTTTGAGATGATATAAGAAAACAATGTCATTATTATGGCATGAATGGTCATTGATCACGTAGCTATTGTACGCCAAAATATTTTGGTAATGTGATTATTAAAGAATAACATTAGTGCAAGAAACATATCTTGCATATAATTTTGACCATAACCATAATGGTATAACTTTCTCTTTAAAAGAGATATTCACCATATGGATGTTGATGAATATGTGGTAGTACAAAATTAATTGAGAACTCTGCAAGAGCCAATTATATTATTTTGGAGAAACACAATTGATTACCAATAAGGTATTGTGTTGTAGTAAGTCTCAAAGAAACTTATTCAGTTTCTAAAGTATTCACGAAAGCGGTTGGTCATACTGAGACTATAAATAAATGAAAGATTTAATATCTTCTATTACTACAACTTGTAGCGGGGTAATATGTATGTGAAAAGCTACCTGCTTTATTCTCCAATTTGTACTACATAAACAAAAGAATACCACAATGAAGTGGATATTTATTGATATAAAAACCCATATCATAATAAACTTGGAGTTTATTCATAATTGCACACATCATGGTGTAAACCTGAAGTTTATCAATATTGATAATTTATGCAGTTGGCATAATTGGTTTAGCCATGTTAACTCAAGTATGATGTGCAAAAAATAAAAGAGAATTCACATGGGTAAATATTAATAACCCGCAACATGGTATTTGCGAGGTAACTTGCTCAATAATTTGATTTAGAGCATAATTTCTAGATTTTTTATTCAAGATAGTTCATCTTGATAAGTTGGTTTACATCACAGTTGGTTTAGAAAAATGATTTATTGAGTGCCTCCACTTAATAGCTAAACGATTGCTTATGAGAACAAAGTTATCTATATCAGTTTGATATACGTTATTGTGACGACCCGACCCGTCGTCTCATGTGTCACTGCTTCGTTTCCCTCATTTTATGCTTCTTCATGTTTCGTTATCGGTATGTGGTGTGTTGGAGTTGATTTGGACTGGTTTTGATAAGAAATGAGACACTTAGTCTCTTTAAGGAAGATTTAAGTTGGAAAAAGTCAACCGGACGTTGACTTATGAGTGAGAAGGTTCGGATGTGATTTCCGGTGATTCGGTTAGCTTCGGGGGATGATTTGTGACTTAGGAGCGTGGTCGGAAGCGATTTTGGAGGTCCGGTGTAGAATTAGGCTTGAATTGGAGAAGTTAGTATTTTGGCGAAATCCGGTTGATAGGTGAGATTTTGATCCGAGGGTCGAAATGGAATTCCGAGAGTTGCAGTAGCTTCGTTAGGTGATTTTGGATATGTGTGCAAAATTTCAGATGATTCGGAGGTGATTTGGTTGGGTTTTTGATCAAATGTGAGTTTCGGAAGTTTTTAAAGAACTTAGGCTTGAATCCGATGAGAATGGATGATTTTAGTGTTGTTTGATGTGTTTTGATGATTGGAACCAGTTTGGATGATGTTTTAAGACATGTTGGTGCTTTTGGTTGAGGTCCCGGGGGCCTCGGGGTGATTTCGGATGGCTATCGGGATGAAATTCAAGTTGAGGAAATGGCAGATTATGCTGGTATCTGGTATGTTCGCTTCTGCGGAAATGGACCGCATAAGCGGTTCCGCAGAAGCGTAATCTTAGTCGCAAAAGCGGTCTGGAGTGGAGTTGGGTAGTTCCGCAGAAGCGGAACACTATTCGCTTAAGCGAGTCCGCAGAAGCGGACAGGCGGTCGCAGAAGCGGGTTTGGCCAGGAGGTGAGCTTCCGCAAAAGCAGAAATTTGTGTCGCAGAAGCGGCCCTTGAGTTTTAATGAAATTTCGCATAAGCGGACAAAAATCGCAGAAGCGGTTTCACGGAAGCGGGCGTGGGGACCGCAGAAGCGGAAACCCCTGAAGCCAGTAGGAGTTTTATATTCATTTTGTTCCACGAGGGTTATGTTATTTCCACCATTTTTAAGCGAGCTTGGGAGCTATTGGATGGAATTGAAAGGGGGTTTCGACTAGGTGTGATTGGAGGTAAGTCCCTTGGCCTAAATACAGGGAACTTTGATAGATTTAACATAGAAATTGGTTGAAATTCTTCAAAAAAAGGGGTAAAGCTAGGGCTTGAGTTTTTGATAATTTAAATTGGGATTTGATAGGTCATTTGAGCTCGGATTTGGGAGTTCTTGGTATGTATGAACTCGTGGCGAGACAAGGAATCGAGTAATGTGAGTTTTGTAATTTTTCGAGAAGCGGGCCCGGGGCTCGGGTTTTGCTAGTTTCGAGATTCTTGCTAATTTTCGATTGTTTTCGATTGGGTATTGTTCCCTTAGCATATTGTAATGTATTCGCTCTGATTTGGTTAGATTCGACGCGCGTGGAGGCCGATTCGAGGGGCAAAGGCGTCGCGAGCTAGGGATTTCACCGGTTCGAGGTGAGTAATACTTGTAAATGATATCCTGAGGGTTTGAAACCCCGGATTTGCACATCATAGTGCGGTATTGTGGTGACTTGCACGCCAGGTATGAGCGTGGGGTAGAGCACCATTGGGGATGGTGACTTGGTCCGTCCCGGTTGTTGATTTTACTGCGTAATTGACTAAAACCTGCTTGATGCTATCGTGATTTGGGCTGATTGCCATGTTTTGGGCTTCGTGCCGATTATTTGAATCCTTTAGGGATTATTATCACTGTTTTCATGACACTTAGCATATTAAATGATTTCAGTCCTGAGTTAAACCATGTTTTGAAATGTGCAGTCATATTGTTAAAGTTTAAAGACTTAAATTGCATTTTTCTAATATTTTGAGTTAAAAGCTATTACTTGACATTGCCCGAGTGGCTCATTTGCATATTCTGGACTGAGGATGGATCGGGTTGCACGCCGCAGCAATACTATGATGCTATTGCGCTTGGGCTGTAGGAGCCCCTCCGGAGTCTGAACCCCCACAGTGAGCGCGGGTACCCAAATGGATCGGGCTGCGCGCCGCAGCGGTCATGTGCATTGCATTGCATTCATGCATTGTTTCCTGTTTGTACTACGTGGCATGACATTCAGCACTCTCATATCATTGGCATCCATGTTGTTCTTGCACTGCTTACCAGATACCCTGGTGTTATTTGTTAATAGAGTGTTGTGCCCGAGAGGCTAACTTATGTGCGGACTTGCACTATTTGATAACGCATTCATATGCTTGACTGTTGGAAAATGATATTTTCAAAAGAGGTTTTTAAACTGAGCCAGATATTTTCTAAAGGGTTTTTCACGGTCTTACTGTTTTCTAAAAAGGGTTGTACTGTCCTATATAGCATGATGGAGTG